GATATGTGTCGCGACAGAGCAAAGACTTGAACCAAAACGGGCCGATAGACAGCGGGTAACCATCGCTGGTCTGCATCTTTCGGTCATCGAATCGCCAAAAGTGTCGGTCTTTGAAAAAGTATGTATTCTCTGAAAGAGTGTCCACAAAATACAGGCCATCAGAATATGTATGGATTAATTAGTAAATATATTTCAACGCTTACTGTCTATAGACCACTGGAAGGCGGAGTCGAAGGGAACGGGAAATCCCTTCCAGACGGAGGCCGTGTCTCGCGGGTAATCCATGTCAACCCGATTCTTGACCGCGTCGTACAACCAATACTGGGAACCGCTAAACAGATAAACGTGTTCGTTGTGACCCCAAACCATAGCCGCGTCCACTCGATCCAAATTTGCCGGAAGTCCTATTAAACCATAATTACATTAATGCAATTAATAACCGAATATTTAATAAACATGATATAAAGCCCTACCGATGGATGTGAGCGGTTGTGGATATCCGCCCTCTAAACGATTTTTGCTATTGAATACGTAAATGCGTTTATCGATGAAGAACACAATCTTGGCGTCTTTGGGGCGCTCGAAGACGGCGTCCACTTTAGTTAAGCTCTTTGGCAACTCTGGCCAGTAGTGGATAATTTCCGTGGGCTCAGCCCTGTCTATAGATCGGTCGGGTTTTAACCACCAAAAGTACTGCAAAAATAACATTTGCTTTACAATTGTTTTATTTATTGTTTTGTTTTCTAACAAACCTTTGACTTAAATACAAATATTTCTCGTCGTATGGAAGCGATGGCATCGATACTCATATTGCATGGGTTCGGGAATTCAGAAGAAAACTTAGGTATTGTTGACAACTTTGTATGAGTCGGACGGTTGGTCTGAGGATAGTTAGGCGTTGGCAGTGATGGGTATGACGGCCCCGGACGGGATGGGTCGCGAGCACCTATTTATTTGTGTAATTCATTATACATTATTCAGTGTCTCTAAACTCATCAAATCTGTCTTAAATGAATGCATTTAATATCTGGTGATAGCCTTACCATAAAGTTGTTGTATAGCAACCGTGTCGTCGTATGGCAGCCGAAAGTCTTCACTAATTGTCTGATAGTATGGAAACATTAGGGAACCCGAGACTGACGAGTGGGCCAAACCCAATGAATGGCCAAATTCGTGAGCTATTCGTATATTAAGTGAAACCAAGTGTTAAATTCATACAAAACACTACAAATGCATTGAAAAATAAAATAACAATTACCGGCCACTGAATACAGACTAACCCCTAAAACATAACATACATAACAATTAATGTCATATCATTTTCTACCGTATTGACAGGTCATACATACCGCGCCAACCCCCAGGCTGTTGGTCCACTTCGTTGGTCTGTCGCTGATCCCACTGTTCGTCGGCGTCGAAGTGGGCGTCGCCGCCGATATCGTCGGCCGGGAAGAAGGCGTGTCCGAGTATAGCTCCGGGACCGTCAAAGGCGTACTGATCGCCGTGTTCTCCGCTCAAGAATGAGATGATAATGTCTGCGTCCGGCCGACGGTTCTCCGTGAAAGTGAGTTGCGAGGCGTCGGACCACACTTTGAACGCCTTCTTCAGCTGTTCGATCACATAATAATAGTCTAAGTCTTTCGATATATCCTTCACACTATCGGAATGTATGAACAAATAATAGGTTTTCGTATTAGGATTGTGTGTTAGACAAGAGGTTTAGACAAATTGAGTACTGCTTAACATAATTATACTTTAGTGTGACTTTCATTTCAATTAGAGACTATTTTTA